CATCCATAACACATTTTGAATGGAAAACCAAAATAATATGTAACCTGTCCCCACTGGAAATTATTTATGCAGGTATCATGTCCATAGCTATTATTGTTTCCATAACGTGTATGACCATATTCATCTCCCATCAACATCATTGGGGTGCCCTGTTACAAAAAAATGTACACAATTAGTAATTTTTACATTATGCGATACCACGTAAAAGTCCAACTGTGGAGCGATCAATAATATTTACTTGAGAAATCATTAATGCCACATGGAAGTTCTTCATTTGTCTCGAACGCAGAGCTAATACATTTGAATCATTTGTTTCTCCTGTTTGGCAACAAGACCAAAATAGGTTGTTACCAACATTTAATATTTCAAATCTTTCAAAAACAAGCAACGAATATATCAATATATACTCCCTCCGTTCCTAAATATTTGTCTTTTTAGAGATTTCAAATGAACTACCACATACGGATGTATATAGACATATTTTAGAGTGTAGATTCACTCATTTTGCTCTGTATGTAGTCACTTGTTGAAATCTCTAGAAAGACAAATATTTAGGAACGGAGGGAGTACATAACATGATGGCGTTAAGTGAAACAAACTGAACTAATGTTCCTTCCAAAATATGATAACCATCCATGGTTGTATTTTCTCTGAGAAAACAGAAAGCTTGCGCCTCGATGCATTGATATAAAAATAGTAGTAACTGTAGAAGCCTAAGACTACGCTGAAGCAACCGACCACTCAAGACAAGACCACAACCGACGGTCACAAGACAGACATTACAACAAACATCACCAAACCAACCCTGGCCTAGATGCCATCCACACAAACGGACAGAACATGACGCCCATCACAAGAACAGAGAATCCAACTCCGCAAAGAAGGGCAGAATTGGGCTACTCCGCTTTGGAGGCGACATAGTTGTATTTGGTCTAATCGTGATACAGAAAGCTCCAGTACTAAGACTATGCATGAGTTCAGTGTCAAGCATACTACAAAATTAATTTTAAACTAAAAGAGCATTTTGTGTTCTCCTTCTTGTTGTGCAATACTATACTTCAGTCAAATATCTTAAGAACGGCGGCTCTGGAGGTCGCCTCTGTGTGTTGGGTGTCTCCTCTGGCTGCTTGGGTGGTTGAGTCGTCGACCCATTGGGTGCGCGGCCTCGGGGCCCGAGTGCTGTGTTGCTGATGTTTGTAAGCTGGAGGGGCAACTCCGGGTCGTGTGGTAGGGTGTCGACTAGGGTCGCTTGGGTGGCAGAGTAGTCGGCCAGTTGGGGGTGCAGCCTCGGGGCCGGTGTGTTTGTATGGCTCGTTGTATCAGTTTTCAGCCACTTTTCCTTATTAACTGGCCAATTCTCTTCTTATATATGAAAAGGCAGAGCTCCTTGGTTGCTCGAAGAAAAGAAAAAATTCTCTTTTCAGCTGCTAATTTCAATGTGAAGAGCAACGCATGATAATGAGTAATGATGGTACCTTCAACACCACAGTTCCAGCTAAAATTATCATTGCATCCATCACGTCCACCTTCTCCATTAGCATCGTTGTGCTATATAATTTTGGTCAAACAGAAAGCATATTAACATAGACACCACTACTTGTATAGAAGGACCTTAACTTTATAGTGTTTTGGTAATACTCGAGTTACCTTTAAGTTGTATGAAACAAGGTCACATAAGGTGAACCCATCATGTGCTATTATAAAGTTCACACCATGATGAGGCTTCCGCTGGTTCACCTGCCAATCAATATCACATCAAAACTTGATTTTACACGTCGTCCTGTTTTGAACTATGTAATCCTAAATCTTCCACATAAAAAGAAGTCTCAAAGCTTATTCACAGAGGCTCCTACCACCTCCATACATAGAGAACTGGTTTAAATTTCGAAATGACATCTCCAACAATATTCAGAGTACAGCCAATACCGTTAAGCATTTCGGTGGATCTTGCAGGAATTAATCAGAATGAGCATTGAAAACACTGCAATTAGAATTGCGTACAAAATAAATTTGGAGGTTGCATATGTTAAGAGCATAAGCTGCACCCTGATGACACTATGGAAATAGCAAGTGTATAGTTTCAACTTTCAACAACACTGAAGGCTTAAGCTCAGGAATTTCTTTTTCGCAAACACACACATAATTGTGTGTTTCCTGTATTTAGCTTAGGAATTTACAAATACTTTAAAAACTACTACAAAACATCAAGAAACAGGGCTCCAAAAGAAAGTATGTTTAGTGATGATATAACCAAGCAAGGAAAATCTTCAACTGATGGATAAAAAGGCAGGCAGGGAAAGAGCGCATCTGAACAAAATACCTGGTAGAGATCAGCAGATCCAGACACACGAGTTGCCAACACCCCCTTCATACCAGGGTCACCCTGCAAAAACCCTCAAAATTAGCGGCATTCAATCATTCATCAGTGCTTGCAGAAATAAAATTGGAAATATAACAAAGAAAGTAATCAGGACAAACTCTTTTGCAGAAGTGCACTCTAAATTCAGATCAAACGTTATCAAAATCCACTGATGCTAAAAAGGAAATATCTTGGTGTTGTAGGTCTTTGATGATTTAGTTATGATTGATTAAAAGACATTATGCTATGGAAAGCATGAGTGAGTAGAAGCAACAGCAGTCCATGGAAAATTAGGTCAGTAAATTTGAACAGGCCGAGAAGCCTCATGCATTCTTGAAAATTCTATATTCTTCTGTGGTAATATTTCTCTCTTTTAGCTGTTCTGGCCTTTTTTATCTTTCTGAGTTTTATATCTATAACTTGGTTTTTGTCAATATAAATATAAGATAGAGGATACTTAATTTTTCGCCACAACAAAAAGGTCATGAACAGAACCATCTAATGATCTGTCTTAAGAATATACGGAAACGATCGGGAATTTGGAGAATGGTAAAGATCAGGATCGGGATTTAGCAAACAGTACCTTGATGAACCTTCGAAGATCGTCTCTGTACTTTCCATTCCATTCAGCCCACCTACAAGAGCATTTGACTATATCTTAAATATTGACAATATTCACCAACAACATTGAAACGTATTCAGCTCTTCATATATTTGAAATTACCGGCAGCAAGTTTAGGCAACAAAAGGGACCACCATATGAAAATGAGTGCAGTTGTTAAGTACTCCCTCCGTCCCAAAATATAAGAGCGTTTTTGGCACTACACTACTGTTAAAAACGCTCTTATATTATGGGACGGAGGGGGTAATTTATAAATGATCATCGGAGCATTACATCAGCTATGTTAGAATAACAACAACTCTTTGTGCTACATTATCATCGCAGTGTAAAAATAGTTTAGTGCTAAACAGGAAACAAAAGTAAGAAAAATATACATATCCAGCAATTTCAATACACATAGTGCAAAATTACCTGTCCCAGTTAGGGAAACGCCCTACTAGATAAAGACCTCCACAATCCCAAGGTTCAGCAATTATCTTGCATCGAGATAACACAGAATCTTTGGCAATTTCCTGTGACCAGCAAAATAAACAATGAGATAAAATAACAACAAACATCATAGGCTGATAATTCTACAAAAAACACTAATGTAGGCTATCAGATGAACGTTGCAGTCTTGAGAAGGTGTGATATATCATTTGCAATTTCATAAATGTAAGGGGGCATTCAAAAGGTCACACATTCATAGGACCCTCAGGTTCCTCTAAATCTACTTCATTAATGAAGAGCTGAATATCTGATGATGAAATTTTGCATGATTGCACTAAATATCTGCCCGACAAATAGTTCAACAACTGAGAAAGAGAAAGCAAATACAGCATACAATGTTGTGAAGTCCATAAACTTCAAGGTGGCATTGGTTCATGTGAATTCATTAGGTGACAATTTGTATCCGATCAACCATAGTAAGATATGGACAATAGTTGATGTAAGAACTTATGTCTTGTGTTTTTATGATATCAATGAACTTCACTTGATTAAAAAGAGGAAAACTGTATCTCTGATTTGAAGTTAAACACTACAGTTCTGCAACTATAAAATTACCCTGATGAGTGGAGGAGCATCAAGAGGACTGCCATCTGGTCCACGACAAAGAACACTTGCAAGGTCAAACCGAAATCCATCTATGTGATACTCCTTAACCCTTGAAGCATCAAATAGTCATGCAAATAAGAAAACATACTTAAAATGATGAATTCTTTGAAAAAGAGATCATACGAAAATACTTGGTCTGAATTTTGTATCAAGATATGAATGAACTACTACAGTGCAGTTTTCTTGATCCTTTGGCTGCCTTGCACTAATACATTTAATATAGGATTTGTCAGTGCATACAATACTTTGATAAGGAGATCCCTAGCGACGTCACTCGTTCAAGGTTGAAAATACTTAGTCGGTCCACTCACAAGGCACAAGAGTCCACTCCCATGAGAATTGGTTGCTACCTGATGCTTCTACACCATGTCTTGGGTATGGACCGGACATCATGGGTACCAAGGAGTAAGGAAACAAGAATGATTGGCAAGCGAGGCTCAGTCTGGAGGCACAGCAAGCAACCGGTCCAACCAGAAACTCAGTGTGGGTTAGACAGGTCACATGTTTTTTTGGTCTAGCCTGTTCCGATCGAACTGGCTCCTATTCACTTCGCTGGTGTGAGTGGGTATAGAAGCAGAAGCCCACCTCTTTTAAGAACACAAATGGAAGTCATGAGCTTCACTCCCCTCCTATGGTTACAGCTTCCATGTCACCCTAGGATTGGGAGTTCCAGAGTTTCCCCACCAATGCTTTTGTTCCATGTGCAAGAACCATTTGTTGGGTGAGTTCTTTCTCAAAGGCTATGACATTGGCACTTGTTGCTGGCATCAATTGCTCAAGCAACTCGAGTCATCCATTCCCATTGCCTGAAGGCCAGGCCTCCCCGTATATTAACTGAAGAAGTCAAGTGACCTCATCAACTATAACGTGTCACAACCCAGATGATTTGATGGCTATGAATTAATGTGTGCAGTGTGTACTGCAACATAGAGGTAGTTTTCAGTAATTTCAGTCTATCAGTATCATCTTGATTTGATCATATAGATCCGACAGTTCAATTCCACATGCATATTTATTTACTTGTTAGCACTTGATTGTGAGAGTGGAACACAAGTATAAACAGGTGCTGTCAAAGCATTGACTATACTGATTATGAAGACTAAAGAAACGATCAACATGAAGACAGAAATATGCATAAACTAAAATGCAGTTGCTTGAAGTATAGAACAACATGCAAGTCGTGCATACCAATGTCTCAAGCTGTCGAGTACGAGTTCCATGACAACAGGATGGTTGCAGTTTAGTGTATTCCCTGGATTAAACCAATTATACTGTTAACACTTAGGAGTAGACACAAGTTCCACTTACTTGAAATTTTAAACGTACCAGAACATTAAGTAACTAGCCATCTAAATGTTATATCAACCAGATAATTAAGCAGGCTTCCAATATTTTTTTAACAAGGTTTCCTTATAGGTAGCAATGTGGCAGTCTCACATCAATGCATGGGTTGAGAAATATAGTGGCTGCAGCCAAATAATGACCAGGTGACCACTCTTAACCCTTCTACCAGTCAATATAGCACCTAACATGGCTGCAAGGTTCAGTCTGATGGCATGACGAAGATAATAAACATAGATTGAATCAACATTTATCATTTGAAATACATCACAACAAAGTAGCAGCCAGATATGCAGTTTATTTGCCTAGAAGCACACAATCGCAAGATAAATTAGCAAGGTACATGGTTAGTAAGCGGATCAGCAAAACAAGATACATTAACATCCTTAAAGCCGGAGCAACAAAGAACATACAAAGCATCAGGTAGCGCCCTAGAACATGTTCACCTATTACAAGCACGTCACAAACAATCAAGTAACAGAAGTTCAGGAATCATGGTTTTACCGCATCCCGAGAAGTTCAGCAGTTGAGAGTTGTTCTTCGGATCTAACATGTAATAAACCTGCATGAATGAAAGTAGTGTTTTTTGGTATAAATTCATGTAAAACCTGAAGCAGGTGTACACTTCTAAACACTTTGGGGTTTAGAACAGATTAACTTAACCTGGTCACAAATTTTACTTAGCCTTCTAAGGCCAGTGACTGTCTGACCCATTATAAAATAACAGGTCAAAAGGGTGGAGTGAGCAAACCCATACACAAATTCTGAGTTAAGCAGCCCTATTCCGATTCTAACCTAGTTCTTTTCAACCCGGAACAAAACACAGCCTACACATTAGAACTAAGAAAAGATAGAGCGACAAGCAGATAGGTGCCTTCGTCGGCTATAACTCAAATAGATAAATCACCTTGTTGTCGATGCCACGGAAAGAAGTAACATAAGGATTAGCATCATCTGCTTCATTCGTATGGTTGTAAACGACGTCCAGAATAACCTATACAAAATGATGATACCATTAAACACATGTTCTCATGTGGGATGAATAAGAATGCTACAATAGGTTGCCATATCTACTGGATGTCAATACCTCTATACCAGCTTTATGCAATGCCTTGACCATCTGCTTGAGCTCTCTGGAAGCAGCCAATGGTCCACCACCAGCACTTGCATAGCGGGTCATGGGAGCAAAAAAGTTGATTGTAGAATAACCCCATGTATTGACCTTCCAATTGAGAAGATGAAAAGTCATTCCACAATTGATTCCACTGATGAACCATAATGATGACATCATGCACAAAGTGGCATATCAGAATTTTTACCATGTGGTCCCTTGGGTTAGGGTACCTCTTGAACTCCAGCTCATCAAACTCAAAAACAGGTAGCAACTCCACTGCATTAACTCCGAGTTCAAGCAAATGTGGGATCTACAAAACCACAACTATTGCATGCATAAGTCATTAAACAATAGGCTTGAAGCCTTGAACACTGAAACCTAATATGCATATCAGGTTCCCAAAACTAGATCACTAAAATAATAGTGGGAATATATTTATTTCGCTAATAATTTCCAGTAAGGACCAAACAAATAATTGTGGTCACAAGCCACACAATAAGAAGAAATTAAAACTTACTTTGTCGATGAATCCTAGATAGCTTCCACGAACAGCTGGATCAAGCCCACTTGACTCATCCGCAGTGAAAGCGCGAACGTTCATTTCATATATAACTAGATCTGTCTAGATTAAAGAACAGAAGAAAAGCAGTGAACTTCATGTTCGGGATGCTTTCTGCATTTCTTCTATGAAATGATTCTAGTACCTCAGGCAAATTTGGAAGCTGGTAGTCAGCACCCCAGTCAAAAGGAGAGCTATCAAAATCATATGTTCCAAAAGGCTGGCTGGGCCCTTTATCAAGCCCAAAGTAATTTCGACCAGAAACTAGTTTCGCGTAAGGGTCAAGAAGAATAATGTTGCTATCAAACCTATGGCCTTGTTCCCATCCTTGAGGACCATTAACACGATATCCGTAAAGAACTCCAGAAGTGGGCAACCCCTGAAAGTACAGTTATAGAAGGCTTCATTCAGCATATATGCATGGGAAAATAAATAGAAGCAAAATAGGCACAGATTTCTCCTCCTAACAATAAATATTGTAAAGAACATAAGGATGTGTTTTCAGCCAAGACCAAAAGAGAACATAATGATTTCTCCTCCCAACAATAATATTGTAAAGAACATACGGATATGTTTTTCAGCCAAGACCAAAAAAGATAGATGTGTAACATGCTGGAAGCTTTTTTTATTGAAGGGTTTTTCTCCCTGATTTCATCCAGAAACCACAAAAATCCTTGCAGTAAACTGAAACATGCTAGAAGTGACACAGTGAGATAGCCAAAGTTATGAGCCTGCACTACTCATCAGTGCATTTTGTTTCTTTTTATGAATGAGTTGACATGATAAGACCAGTGCTTTCAAAATATATGATTCTCATAAAACTAAATCTTGTTTTGAAGAATATGTAATACAGATACACATGAGACGAATGATGGGATTCTTGTTCCATAAATGTCAGCCACACCAAGTTGTCAATGTTGAAAAGAATAATGCCTTATCTTCAAAGGTACAGATAACATCAAAGCTTCATAACAATACCTCCACCGACACATGCCATATATCTCCAGTTTTGTTCTTCTGGCAATCTAAAGCAAACTCCACAACTTTTTCACTTTCTTCATCCTTGGTTCCTCTGCAGGGCAATCCGGTATGTCAGACGATGAGACAAATCATATTTCATTGGAAAGAGAATGCGAGATAAACAAGCTAAAGCACAATGCTGATCAGCAAAAGGTTATTTCAACCAGGCCAACACCCAAGATCAACTAACAAAATGGCAACCTGGGAAACAAATAAACATCGTTTTGTGCACGATCTGCAACATACACAAACACTTGATCAAAGTGCGACGTATGGATGTGTTTTGGCTTTATGAACAACTAGTTTTGCGGAAAACCAGGATTCACGAGTCCTGGCCTAAAAGGCAAAAACAGTTAACTTAAATGACACTGAAAGCAACAAAACCACACAATTTAGGAAAGGTTGTCTGTACCTCTCAGGAAGCTTGATGCAGAGGGTGACAGAAGAAGCATGTTGAGAGAAAATCGCGAAGTTGAGACCACTTTCAACCTGTGACACTCCTAGAGGGGATGCTTTGCCGGAAGAATATTTCAAGGGCATTTCGGTACCCGCCATTGCGCTTTCCCTTTCCTGACGGTGTTACAGAATGAACATGCACTTTAGCAAAAATAATAACATGGTACAGAACGAGGAATAAGAATATTCAGCGTCATACAGTTAATGAATACAAACATATTCGCTTAGCGTGAGGTTTTACCAGGACGGTATCCCGACTGACCATGAATGTATATCAAACACTACACTGGTAGCTAAATGGATCGACGAACAAATACAGTGCTATACAACCATGCAGGGCATGAACACAGAACACTTGAGCGCCGGCGATACCTCGGTCACAATTCTCCCAGCATTACCAGTCTGAGCTCTCGCCGTAGTACTCCGCAAGGACCCAAATCGCTGTGCCTGCACCACGACACAAAATCCGCTCGGATCAATCCACCAATTAGAACGGAGACACGGATGCACCCCACGAACAAAAAGTACGAAAATCGAGACACCTGCCTTTCCGAATTGCCCTCCTCCGCACCCGGGCGCGACCCCAAGCCTGCTCGCCGCTACACTGCACGGGAACCTCGACCAAACACACGCACATCATTCAGAGCGGCAGATTGAACGGCACGAGAACGACAAAATGCAGCGCGGCGAAACGAGGCCGCGCGAACGGAGAGCGAAAAAAAGGGAAACCCACCGGTTCGGAAGCGCGGGGCGGACGGAGCTGCTGCTTCGGCGTGCGGTGGCGGTGGCGGCGGCGGCGGGACGCAGCGGGGAGCGATTTGTAGAGGCCGCCGAATCCATCCAAATGCGGGGGTGCTGGGCCGGGTAGCGGGAGGGATTTGGCTCGGGACCGGGGCTAGTTATAGGGGCTCGTGGACACGGTCATGGGGCGGCTCGCGGCTCTCGAGGTCGAGGGAGTGGAGCGGCGATGGGGAGCGCAAGTCGGAGCAGGAGGAGAAGGATGCGGTGATCTCACCTCGGGGAGGGCGCGCGGGGGCGACGGAAATGGGGGGCGGACACGTGGTGTCGCATGCGCGGGGCGGGGGCGGGGGCGGGGGATGGGAAGTGGACGGAGGACCTCCCTTCCGGCCCCGACGTGTGGTGTCGTCTCGTCATGTGCTTTCCATATACAACAGTTACCGGTAGTCTCAGTAGATGAGAAACGGTCGAACTCACGGACAGAACCTTGCTTTATCGAAAACTCTGAAAACATTATCTACACTACCTATTAAAAAGCAAACAAAATCTTCTCTAACACACCCACAAAATGTAAGTACATCGGATCAATTACCACCGCATGATTAGACTCCCTAAATAAATCTAACAGTTAACCTTAATCTAATCCCTTTTGTACGTGCGTTTAGCAATTTTATTGAGTGGCCGTACTCCACACTAGTCTAAGTTTTTTTTTTGCGAGGTACACTAGTCTAAATTACTCCCCACTATGGGTAGTCTCATAGTATGAGTATCACACCCCGCATCGGCAACTCCTACAATCACGTAGCGCACGCAATCCGAACTGCCATCAGTTAACCTCTCTTCCTTAATTAGCGCCTACTCAATTCCCATACGAAACCTCCATCCAAAAGAGAGAAATTTACCAAAGAGCATGCAAGCCGCCCGCCAATGCAAGAGAAACACCGCCGTCGGGACGCACGAGGAGCCCGCCGGAGGAGGCAGTTAGAAATCATATTTTGTCAGTAGGTTGGCGTACAAGGAGGATAAAGGAAAGCCCGTTTGTAGTTCAATTCGTTAGAACCAAATGGCACGTTGAGGAACCCAAAGCAACACACGAGGGAGGGAGAACAGGGCACATGATACGTCTTCAATGTATCTATAATTTTGATTGTTCCATGTTGTTATATTGTCATTCTTGGATGTTTTACAATCATTTTATAGCAATTTTATATCATTTTTAGGACTAACCTATTGACATAGTGCCCAGTGTCAGTTGTTGTTTTTTGCTTGTTTGTTACATCACAGAATACAATATCAAATGGAGTCCAAACGCAGCGAAACTTTTTGGAGAATTTTTATGGACCAGAAGGAACAACATGGGCCAAAGAAGTAACGGAGGGGTGCCCCAAGGGGGCACACCCCACCTGGGCGCCCAGGCGCACCCAGGTGGGTCGTGCCCACCTCGATGGCCTCCCGCACCGCCTCTTCGGCCTATATATACCCACATATTTCAGAAACCCTAGGGGAGTCGACAAAACACAATTCCAGCCATCGCAAGTTCCAGAACCACGAGATCCAATCTAGACACCATCACGGAGGGGTTCATTATCCTCATTGGTGCCTTTCTGATGATGCGTGAGTAGTTCATTGTAGACCTATGGGTCCCTAGACAGTAGCTAGATGGCTTCCTCTCTCTCTTTTGATTCTCAATACAATGGTCTCTTGGAGATCTATTTGATCTAACTCTTTTTGCGGTGTGTTTCTTGGGATCCAATGAACTTTGAGTTTATGATCAGATCTATTTATCCATGAAAGTTATATGAGTTTTGATCTCTTATATGCATGATTAATTATAGCTTCATATTTCTTCTTCGAATCTTTGATTTAGTTAGGCCGACTAGATCAATTTTTTTTGCCATGAGAAGAGGTGTTTTGTGATGGGTTCGATCTTGCGGTGTTCTTTCCCAATGACAGAAGGGGTAGCAAGACACGTATTGGTCATTGCTATTAAGGATAACAAGATGGGGTCTATTCCTACATGAATAGATATCGTCTACATCATGTCATCGTTCTTATTGCATTACTCCGTTTCTCCATGAACTTAATATACTAGATGCATGATGGATAGTGGTCGATGTGTGGAGTAATAGTAGTAGATGCAGGCAGGAGTCGGCCTACTAATCTTGGACATGATGCCTATATATTGATCATTGCCTGGATATCATCATAATTGTTTGAGGTTCTATCAATTGCCCAACAGTAATTTGTTTACCCATCGTGTGCTATTTCTTGAGAGAAGCCACTAGTGAAATCTACGGCCCTCGGGTCTATTCTTCATCATATTTGCTTTGAGATTGATACGTCTCCAACTTATCTATATTTTTTATTGTTCCATGCTATTATATTATCTGTTTTGGATGTTTTATATGCATTAAGATGCTATTTTATATGATTTTTGGAACTAACCTATTAACCTAGAGCCCAGTGCCAGTTCCTGTTTTTTCCTTGTTTTAGAGTTTTGTGGAAAAGGAATACCGAACGGAGTCCAAACGGAATAAAACCTTTTCGATGATTTTTCTTGGACCAGAAGACACCCAGGAGACTTGGAGTGCAAGTCCGAAAGAGCCACGAGGCGGCCACAAGGGTGGAGGGCGCGCCCAAGGGGGTAGGGCGCGCCTCCCAACCTTGTGGGCCCCTCGGCGACCCCCTGACCTAGATCTTCCTCCTATATATACTCTTATTCCCCAAAAACCACCAGAAGAGCCATGAAACCACTTTTCCACCGCCGCAACCTTTCGTACCCATGAGATCCCATCTAGGGGCCTTTTCCAGCATCCTGCCGGAGGGGGATTCGATCACGGAGGGCTTCTACATCAACACCATTGCCTCTCTGATGAAGCGTGTGTAGTTTACCACAGACCTACGGGTCCATAGCTAGTAGCTAGATGGCTTCTTCTCTCTCTTTGATTCTCAATACAAAGTTCTCCTCAATGTTCTTGGAGATCTATTCGATGTAATACTCTTTTGCGGTGTGTTTGCCGAGATCCGATGAATTGCGGATTTATGATCAGCTTATCTATGAATATTATTTGAATCTTCTCTAAATTCTTATATGCATGATTTGATATCTTTGCAAGTCTCTTCGAACTATCGATTTGGTTTGGCCAACTAGATTAGTTTTTCTTGCAATGGGAGAAGTGCTTAGCTTTGGGTTCAATCTTGCGGTGTCCTTTCCCAGTGACCGTAGGGGCAGCAAGGCACGTATTGTATTGTTGCCATCGAGGATAAAAATATGGGGTTTTCATCATATTGCTTGAGTTAATTCCTCTACATCATGTCATCTTGCTTAATGCGTTACTCCGTTCTTTATGAACTTGATACTCTAGATGCATGCTGGATAGCGGTCGATGTGTGGAGTAATAGTAGTAGATGCATAACCGTTTCGGTCTACTTGACACGGACATGATGCCTATATTCATGATCATTGCCTTAGATATTGTCATAACTTTTGCGCTTTTCTATCAATTGCTCGACAGTAATTTGTTCACCCACCGTAATAAATTCTATCTTGAGAGAAGCCTCTAGTGAAACCTATGGCCCCCGGTGTCGGTGTCAAAACCAGCCGATCTCGGGTAGGGGGTCCTGAACTGTGCGTCTGAGGATCGAAGGTAACAAGGGACACTGGGAACACGATGTTTACCCAGGTTCGGGCTCTGTCGATGGAGGTAAAACCCTACTTCCTGCTTGAATGACTTTGATGAGTATACGGGTTACAAGAGTTGATCTACCTCGAGATCGTAATGGCGAAACCCTAGATGTCTAGCCTATATGAATTCTGATAGCCTCTACGAACTAAACCCTCCAGTTTATATGGACACCAGAGGGGCCTAGGGTTGTACAGAGTCGGTTTACAGAAGAAGGAAACTATACACCCGGACGCCAACCTTGCCATCCATGCAAAGGAGAGTCTCATCCAGACACGGGGAAAGGTCTTCTACCTTGTATCTTCATGGCCCATCAGTCCGACCCATAACACACAACCCGGACACCCAAGGACACCTTAATCCAGGACTCCCTTAGTAGCCCCTGAACTTGCCTTCAATGACGACGTAGTATCCGGCTTATGTCTTCGGCTTTGCAAGGCGGGTTCTTCATTCATACTTCTGATTGACAACGGTCTGGCTCTGACGTCGATGTGCTGCCTTTATGATCCCTTCCTAAGGTCGCTTCGATTTCTGCGTGCCGAATGAATACGAATGGTCAATGGTTTTTTGCAAATAAGCCCCTCACCACGCGCAGACGGCATCTATATAAGGATATGTAGATCCCCAAATGCCATCCCATGTCGTGCAAAAGGAAAACCGTCAAGATTAGCCATGAACAAAGCTTTCCAACATGGCCAGCGCCCCAGGCTCTTCTTCGTGCCGCCATGGCCCTCAAGAGGGTGATTGCTAGAGTTGCTTCGTGCCTCATCTTCAGTTGAGCCATCTCCAGACGCAGGGCTATCTTCCCCTTGCAGATATAGTCCCTATTCGAGCGGGACTGGTCTCAATCAGCAACGATGTGATGTCCGAGAATTTCCCCAACCCCAATAAGGAGGAGAGAGTGTGCTTCGTCCCATTCCTAATGTGGGGCCTAGGATTTCCAATCCATCCCTTTCTCAGGGGCCTATTGGAATTTTACGACATCCAACTACACAACCTTACCCTAGGTTTGATTCTGCACATCTCAGGTTTCGTTGCCCTTTGCGAACTATTCCTCAGCATTGAGGCCCATTTTGAATTATGGAAGAAGTCATTTTGCCTCGTTCCTCGCCATCGAGGAGACTCTATATTTGAAGTGGGCGGCGCTGAAGTATGGCGCATAGCCAGATCTGGATACCTCATTGGAACTCCCAAAGAGGTGTACCAACAGTGGTCTTCGGAATGGTTTTATATGGACGATGTCCCACTACCGTTCGGTGCGGCCTTCCTGAATTTTCCAGTGCTCCTTTAAAGAAGCGCCTTAATTGGCATCCTCGAAGTCCCAAGGAAGAAGACGGTGCAGAGATAAAGAGGTTGGTCAGCAAGGTCAGGCTGCTAGCCCATACCGAGCTCTCGATAGTTGAGGTCATGGCTATTGCA